TATATTTGAACTTTCACCAAGCTTTTGAGAGCACAAATGTCGCACAATTGTGATTTTTTTTCCTCGTTTATATTACCTATAGTCCAAGTATCAGGCAGAGGACGCACCACTCTCAGAATCAGCTCGTCGTATCAACTCCACCAAGGCGGTGATGTAGGTTTGTGCCATTTGTAGTGTCTCAAATTTGGAGAGTTTCCTGTCGTTGCCAAGTGCTGGCACCACCTCCCGGAGTTTCTCGAAAGCGTCGTTTAAGCCATTCATTCTCCGTCGTTCCCGAGCGTTAGCAGCTAGTCGTCGTTTACGAAGAACTTCACTGCCCACTACTTTAGGAGGCCTTCGACGGATTCTGAGAGGCTTATAATGTGTTACTACTGAAGGATTCTGTTCGGGAGGTGTAAAATGCTCTTGGTGCACACTCGAGTCTAATTCAGAGGGACAATACTGTGTGGTACCCCAACTACCAACAGGCGTGGAGTTGCTGCCTGCGTAAGAGTAAGATGGTGCTAAGCTACTGAGGTCAGTTGTAGCAGGATAAGCTGCCTGATAATACTCCAGGTTGGGGTATGCTTCCGCAACTAGATCCTTGATGCGGCGGCTTCCTGAAGACCCATGACCTGGCAGCTCCGCTCTAGGTGAACACTCTGATGTCAGGTCATCTGGTGTAGAACTGTGATACCCATCACTGCCTCCTCCATCAACACAATTCTGGTGAAATTCATGCGACTGGTGATGCGTCCTTACAGGAGCTGGCATGACGAGAGTGGAGGTTTCTTCCACTCCAGGAGAGAGCGCAGCTCCTGGATCATTTTCTGCGTTGTAGTTGAAGTCTCCCAGTGGATAATACTGCTGAGACAAGTCTCGGTTCGACCAGTAGTCTTGTGTGTGCACAGACATCCCGAGAATTCAATCAGCACTGTCGTGTTCTTATTTACCACAAATCACAAGTAGCTCACACGCACTCACTGGAAAACATTGATGGAGATTCCGTCTCCATATTGTTGACGTGCGACACCACGAAGTCACTCGTGAGTGTGTGCACCGTCGCACCTGCTGTAAACCTGCTGGTATCACTGTGTTGTCCTCAACGTACACTATGGCTGCATGCTGCCGAGTCACTGACGGGGTCAACGGTCCCGTTGGGAACGCTGCCAGCGCGACCCACCAAGGTCAATGGCAGAGAGACACAAGGTTACTTCCTGGATGTTGCACAAGTGTGCGGCCGCCTGGCGCCACGGCTACACTGGCGCCAGTTCACTGCACTGTTGGACTTTCTATCGTAAGAGTGACACTGTTTCCCGTAAGCGTGAGTACCAAAACTTTCTGGCTCTCTCCGGCAGCGCGCCCAGCTAGTTTCCCCACTGCCGCCTGTACAAGACTCAGCTCCTCGACAAATAACGATGGCAGGTTGTGCAGCACTCCGTGAGTGCTCTACTCTACGCCAACAAGCACCATCTACACGCCGCTGGTCTAAATTCACGAGATTCTTCCTTCTTATTTGTTCATCGGGAATCTTATTTATACTTCTTATTTATTCTTTTTCCCTTTAGAATTGTTTTCCTGGATTTTTCACTTAGCTTAAAGGAAATAAACCAAACAGCAATAACAGTAAGTATTTTTTAACAAAAAACAGGCAAAATATACCCAAAAACTCACAAGCAATGGCATTAGCATTAAAATTTTTGAGTTAAGATGAAACCTTTTGAAAAAACTGTTTAACAGAGACATTGCAGTCTTCGCTACGGTCACGTGACTCTGAGACAACCAATCATCACTGAGCTTGAGGTTACTTTGTGTGAAAGGAGAAGAAAGGATATTTAAACGCTATTTACAAGGATTTGAAGATGCTACCAGCCCAGGGCGTCACCAGCAGCACAGGCCGTCACCACCACCAGCCCAGGCCGTCACCACTACCATCCCTGTCCACTACCGGTCCTGTCCTCTACCAGCATTATCCACCACTAGTCCTGTCCACTAACAGAATTGTCCACTACCAGCTCTGTCCGCTACCATCCTAGTCCACTATCAGCCTTGTAAACTACCAGCCCAGTCCACAAGGCCCGGTGGCCTGGTGGCTAAAGCTTCCGCTTCACACACGGAGGGCCCGGGTTTGATTCCCGGCGGGTGGAAACATTTCGACACGTTTCCTTACAGCTGTTGTCCTGTTCACCTAGCAGCAAATAGGAACCTGGGTGTCAGTCGACTGGTGCGGGTCGCATCCTGAGGGACAAGATTAAGCACCCCAATGGAAATAAGTTACAGTCCTCGATGACTCGCTGACTTTCTTTGGTTATCCTGGGTGCTAACCCTCTGGGGTTAAAAATCCGAACGAAATCTTATCTTTCTAGGCCTGGTCACTAACAGCCCGGTCCACCACCAGCCAGATCCATCACCACTCCTGGTCAACCACCAGTCCTGGCCAACACACCAAAGGTCCATCACCACTGGTCCTGGCCAACAAAAGCACGGTCCATCACCAATCTTGGTCATTACAAGCACGGTCCATCACTAGTTCTGGTCAACACAAACACGGGCCGTCACCAGTCCTAGCCAACACAAGCACAGTCCATCACCAGTCCTTGCCAACACAAGCACGGTCCATCACCAGTCCTGGCCAACACAAGCACGGTCTATCACTACTAGTCCTGGTCAACACAAGCACGGTCATCAGTCCTGGCCAGCACAAGCACAGTCCATCACCAGTCCTGGCCAACACAAGCACAGTCCATCACCAGTCCTGGCCAACACAAGGACGGTCCATCACTCCTGGCCAACACAAGCACTGTCCATCACCACAAGTCCTGGTCAATACAAGGACGGTCCGTCACCACTAATCCTGGCCAACACAAGCACGGTCCACTACTAGCATGATCCACCATGAACGGATAGTGACGTTTAGTTGTGGCAAATGTAAACAGCCAGGTGATGAGTGTGCAGATTCTTCACAGTGATGAGCAAAGCTGAGGCAAGAAGCCAGTATTAACGTGTAAATGGTAATTGTTGTGGTGGGGATGGTTGTCGGGGGAGGTGGGGTGGTTGTATTAGTGGAAGCAGTGTGTGTGGGTGGGGATGGTTGTCGTGGGAGGTTGGGGGTGGTTGTATTTGTAGAAGCAGCGTGTGGGGGGGGTTGATTGTTGCCTGGGTAGGGGGGGTGGCCGAAGGATGGGGGGTGTTGTTTTTATGAAGGTGTTAGGAGGGAAGCTTCTTACAGTGGAGGTAATATGTGAGGTGATAGTTGTAGAAGAGTGGTTGTTTTAGTGGAGGTAAAATATGAAGTGGTGACGGTGGTCGTAAGACTGGTTGTTGGTGGTTGCTTCGCCAATCAGTGGCTATTTTAGTACAATACGGAGATGGTGGTTTGAATGGCGTCATTAGGTACGGGAGTTTTCTTGGGTAGCTTTAGGTAGAGGTCGTTTTGATAAGAACCTGCCTCGCATGGGCCAGTAGGCCTTCTGCAGTGTTCCTACATTCTTATGTTCTTATGATATTGCCAGACAATAGAAGGTGGGGTGATCAGTCCCTCGGCCTTGCAAAACTATACTCAGGGGATAGTAGAAAAGGTAATCAGTCCCTAAAACCTGATGTTGACTGCCTTATTCTTGATTTATCACTGCTGCCTCATAACCACGCCCCATCACCGCCCCTCATCATCGCAACCCCATCACTGCTGCCCTATCACTGCTACCCCATCACAGACACTCCGTCACTTTTCCCATCACAGTCACTCCACTCTTGTCCATCAGATCATCTGGCTGGCACACCTCGTGCATGGCGCTAAGAATGTAAACATCTCAGTATTCACACTGCCGACTGGGCGATGATAGCACAGTAATGCCATTGGTAGTGACAGAGTAATCAGTTATATGAGAATATTTCTTCTATATTAATTGCGAGTTGTTTTACACACACACACACACACACACACACACACACACACACACACACACACACACACACACACACACACACACACACACACAAAATCAGCAGAGGAAATGTACCAACACTCCACTGGGACTTATTGTTCAGTGTCTGCAGAAGTAAAGAAACCAGCATACCCAGAGATAAAATAATCAAAGTGTGTTACTCAAATGCATTTGGAGTCATAAATATTAAGTCATGAAGGCATGCAGCTGTTACAGAGATGAAACTCTGAGGAATAGCAACATATGCGATATTCCCAGAGGGTTACCAACTACTAAGGAAAGATAGGGAAGTAAATGAGTATCAACAATGAAGGTTAGAAACCTTTGCAAATTTAAAGATAAAAAGACTTCAAGGATTATGTAGCAGGTACCATAACGTCCAGAGGGAAGAAAGTTATGGTGGTGGTGTTATGTAATCTGCCACCAGATAAAGCTAGAACCAAAGTTAAACTTCTAATACTAGGAGATTTCCACTATGGATATTGAGTAGTGTAACTGGGACCCCTCATGGAACCTGATGTAACACGAGTGATGGGACCAGGCAATACATCTCTATTAGTGCTGAGAGACGAAGCAAAGTCACTATGTGATCCGAACCAGTGCCTTTAAAGGGTAATTTCTTTGGCATCTGAAATATGTTTAATGCATATTACCCTAAGGAAAAATAACAGAAGTAAATTAAAAAGAGACAAAGGAAGAGAGAGAGAGAGAGAGAGAGAGAGAGAGAGAGAGAGAGAGAGAGAGAGAGAGAGAGAAAGAGAGAGAGAGAGAGAATGCTCCTTCTACGGGCGAAGGCAAAGAATCACTGAAAGAACAATTTAAAACGAACTGAAAAATCCAAAATATTTCTTTTCATATGCTTAACACGAGCAAAAATCATATCCAATTTCGGGCCTTTGCTCAGACAAGGTGGGACTTACAGATGACAACAAAGAAATGAGTGAGATACTGAGATCTCAGTATGACTCTGCATTTAGTGAGCCATTATTCTGACTAAGTATCAACAATCTCAATGAATTTTCTATGAACGAGTCTCAAAATCGTGTCAATATATGCCAAATCTATGACATAACCCAAACTCCGCTGGACTTTGGAAACGCCATTGTCAACATGCCCATGCACTCTGCCCCAGGCCCAGACTCGTGGAACTCCGTGTTCATCAAGAACTACAAGAAACCCTTTTCGCATGCCCCAAGTATGCTATGGATAGAGACCAGAGAGCCTGGACACGGGTGTCATCCCATAGTCGCTAAAATCAACGTATATAGCTCCATGAAGATGGCAGCAAAGCAATAGCTAAGAATTATAAATCAATAGCTCTAACGCTTCACATTATAAAAATCTTGGAAAGAGTTCTAAAAAGCATGATCGTCAGCCACTTGGATTCCCAACAGTTGCACAACCCAGGGCAACATGGGTTTATAACATGTCATTCCTGCCTCTCTCATCTACTGGACCACTATGACATGGTTTTGGATGCACTGGAGACCAAACAGAATGCAGACGTAGTATACACAAACTCTGCAAAAGTTTGTGAGATCCTGATGTAATAGCACATAAAATGCGTGTTAAAGGAATAACTGAAAAGGTGGACATATGGTTCTTCAACTTTCTAACCAACATAACACAGATTAATGGTAAACAGAGTTAAACATAAGACTGCCACAATGAAAAGCTGTTCTACAAGGTGCAGTAGTTGCCCTCCCCCATCCTGTTCCTCATCCTTATATTAGACGTAGATAGAAATGTAAATATAGCACCGTATCTTCTTTTGCAGACGATACTAGAATCTACACGAGTGTGTCATCCATTGAGGACACGGTAAATCTCCAAGCGGATATAAACCAAGTTTTCCAATGGGTCACGGAAAACAATATCATGTTCAATGAGGAGAAATTTCAGTAACTCTGTTATGGAAAACTTGAGGAAATAATAGCTAGAACGGAGTATAATACAAACTCTAACCTACAATAGAGCGATAAACTACTGTGAAGGACATGAGTGTTAATGTCAGAGGATTTCTCCTTCAAAGGTCACAACTGTGTCACTATCACATCTGTGGGAGAAATGAAGGGATGGATAATGAGAACTTTCAAAACAAAAGATGCGAAGCTAATGATCCTTTTTAAGACATTTGTTCTCTCTAAGGTGGAATACTATTGTACACTAACAGCCCCATTCAAGATGGGTCAAACAGCAGATCTAGAGAATATACAGAGAACCTTCACTGCACGTGTAAGTTCAGTCAAGCACCTTAATTACTGGGAACGCAGGCGAGAAAAATACATCATAATCTACCCCTGGAAAATCCTAGAACGACTGGTCCCAAATCTGTACACAGAAATTACTCCCAACGAAAGCAAAAGACTGGATAGACAGTGCAATATACCCACGATGAAAAGCAAGGGTGCCATTAATACACTTAGAGAAAACATAAGTGTCCGAGACCCATGGATGTTCAACAGTCTCTTGTTATACATAAGGGGAATTTCCAATTGACCCGTGGCTGTCTTTGAGAGGAAACTAGACAGATACCTAAAGTCAGTACCCGAGCAGCCGGGTTTTGGTTTGCATGAG